AGGATATTGATGCCAAAATGTTAAATAATTTTTAGATGTTTGTTGTAATTAATTAATTAATCATTTCTAAGGTGTTGCTTATTTTCTGATGTTCTCTCTAGTTTCTGTACTTAGTTACATTGCAACACCTGAAAAGTAGATGCAATAATTATAATAAAGATTGACAATATGAAGTTAAATGTGACTATAATTAGCACAGATTAAATTAAAATATTTCAAGAATAAACTCTGATATAAACTCGTAAAACCAAAACAGCGATTTATTCAGATGTTGAAATTTATATCTTAAAATGAAAATTTGTAGTTGTTAGTTTTATTAATCTTTGATTGTTTTCTCTACAAAATTAATTTCACGTTTTTATTATAATATAATTAGTCACTTTTATTTTTACATTAGTTATGAATAATTAATAAAGTTCTTTAAAAGTTTATAATAATCTCTAGAACAGTAGTTCCCAACTAGTGGGCTGTGAGAGGAATAAAAAATATTAAAAGTGACAAATTTCAGAAGTTTGTTTCAGTAAACTTTACAGAAAAGTATTAGAGAGAGAGCTCCATGGTTGATCTGTTCATAGGTTTAGTAATATTTAATAAGTGTGCTGCAGTCTTTCTATAATAAACTATTATAGAAAGACTGCATGTGCCATAAGACCAAAAAGGTTGTGAATTGCTGCTCTAAAATGTGTCTAGAATTTTTATTCTCTATAAGTCTTCTTTTAATAACTGGCAATCCACCAACTCCAATTCAATAAGTAGGTTAGACCTACTTATTGAATTTGAGTTGTAAATAAAATTTTAAAAAGTTTTTATCACACAGTTTAAATCTACATTTATTAAAGAAATTGTATAACCACAATTAAAATTTCTTCAATTTTTTTTAAATTTGTGTTTTGTGAGAAGTTATCAGACTAAAATCTTTCAAAAATTTCTGAAGCTTTATTTTGAGTAGTATGAATAGCTTGACCAAGATTTTTTCCTGAAATGAAGTGTACTGTCCTATCAATACATTCTTTTGTCTTTATTGAAAAAGTAATCTTTTCAGAATTTATCTTGGATATTGCAGAACCTTGGTTAAATGGACTTTGATTAATTAGTACTCTACTTTATAATTAAGTTAAATTTTTCAACATTTCTAAAATGTGTATAAATTTTATTTAGTTTTTATTTTATTTTGAATTTTATTTATTTATTTTTTCTTTTTTAATTTTGCTTTTTCTTTCAGCAATTGGAAATGCATTTGCAGTTTTAAGTGATCCAGAGAAAAGGAAGCAGTATGATATGTATGGCAGTGAAGAAGTACAGAGACGTCAAAGTTATGCTAATCGTGCTGATGGCTATTATGATTATTCCAGAGGATTTGAGGGTAATTTTTACTGTTTTGACACTTTAATTCTAAAATATAAATATTTTTTAAAAAATGGCACTTGGGAAAATAGTTATAATTTAAATACATGATTTCATATTAGTGTCATTTTTTATTTATAATTATAATAAGTGTAGAATTATGACATAAATAACTAAGCATTCATTAATCTTTTGTAACTTTTAATTTTTTAATAAAAAATATTAACTTAATGTTTTTAATTAATTAATTAAAAATATATTCTCAATCCTTCATTATCGTAGAATGGTTAAGGTGTTATCACACATTGAAACTTTCATAAAGCTAATTTATTAGATGAATACTCAATTTTATTGTGATCCACCTAAAATACAGTGATACTGTTAGGTCAGGGGTTGCCAAAGTGGTCGATATCAACCCCCAGGGGTCGATGCAACATCATTGGGGGTCAATGCGGCCAAGGGGTCGCAACCTTTTTTTTTTCTTTTGCTGCTCATACACATACACTTGTAATAAAACTTTATGGTGGGGGTCAATGTGAGGCTTTGGAAAATGGTTGGGGATCGACGGTTAAAAAAGTTTGGCGACCCCTGTGTTAGGTACATGTTATAAAACTCTTTCAATGATACAATTTACTCCATATCTAAAATTATGTATACTATGACATTAAAACACCATAAATAAATGGCTAACTTCTATAAAAACCATAAAACTGTAAGAAATAAAAATTATCAACAGCTGCACGTATAACTAATGACATAACTATATTTTACATTTACAATCACAATTTCATGGCAATAAAAATATTTTATGAAATTTTATGAACTCTTATTGTTAATTACTTATTTTTTTAAAACTAATTTAAAATTTACTTTATCAAAATTTAATAAATGAATTGTTATGAAAATATTGCTATTTAAAAATTGTAAACTATTATGTGGTTATAAATTATTGTAATTATAAAATTAATAAACTTCAAATATAATATTTTTTTAAAATAAAAGGAATTAGTCTATTTTGGGAACTTGATTATTTTAATGAATTATTTAAAATTGTAATTTCAATTTGTTATAAACATTCATTTAGGATATTGATGCCAAAATGTTAAATAATTTTTAGATGTTTGTTGTAATTAATTAATTAATCATTTCTAAGGTGTTGCTTATTTTCTGATGTTCTCTCTAGTTTCTGTACTTAGTTACATTGCAACACCTGAAAAGTAGATGCAATAATTATAATAAAGATTGACAATATGAAGTTAAATGTGACTATAATTAGCACAGATTAAATTAAAATATTTCAAGAATAAACTCTGATATAAACTCGTAAAACCAAAACAGCGATTTATTCAGATGTTGAAATTTATATCTTAAAATGAAAATTTGTAGTTGTTAGTTTTATTAATCTTTGATTGTTTTCTCTACAAAATTAATTTCACGTTTTTATTATAATATAATAATATAATTAGTCACTTTTATTTTTACATTAGTTATGAATAATTAATAAAGTTCTTTAAAAGTTTATAATAATCTCTAGAACAGTAGTTCCCAACTAGTGGGCTGTGAGAGGAATAAAAAATATTAAAAGTGACAAATTTCAGAAGTTTGTTTCAGTAAACTTTACAGAAAAGTATTAGAGAGAGAGCTCCATGGTTGATCTGTTCATAGGTTTAGTAATATTTAATAAGTGTGCTGCAGTCTTTCTATAATAAACTATTATAGAAAGACTGCATGTGCCATAAGACCAAAAAGGTTGTGAATTGCTGCTCTAAAATGTGTCTAGAATTTTTATTCTCTATAAATCTTCTTTTAATAACTGGCAATCCACTTCTTACTCATACTTCTAAATTATTATGTTGATGATTATTTTCAACTTTTAAATTAATAAAATATTTGTAATAGTTAAATTATTGTTTATTGTTTATATAGGAAATCAGTTTTATTTAACATTAAATCTTAAATATACATACTTACCTTTGTTATTTAATATATATATATATATATATAAAATAATAAAAATCTAAATAAAAATAAATTTTTACGATAAATAGATAAGCTATTCTAATTTACTGTTATATGTATAAATATATTGATAAATCAGTTAAAACTTTATCAGATTGTATTTATAAACCAGTTAAAGATTAATTATGAAATAAAAGTTTATTTTATTTTGCAGGTGATATATCTGCTGAAGAATTATTTAACATGTTCTTTGGAGGTGGTTTCCCATCAGGTAATTTAAAATGATCTCTAAAAGATCACATTGATGTGATTTGTTTAAAATGTATACTTACAGCCATTTTTAAAATCTATTAATGCAATTGTGTTATTTTATATATGGATTTGAAATTGTGTGTGTGTGTATATGTATGTATGTATGTATATAATTCTAAATTTATATTATATATTATAGCTATATTTTAACTTTTTTTTAATTAATGTATGTGAAGTGATTGAGTAGTTAGTATTATTTATAGTTTATATTTTATATTTTAATTGTGTGTGACATGAAGGAATGAATATATAGTAAAATGTTAATATAACGAAATTGAGGGGATCATCGAAATATTTTCGTTATATTGAAATAGCAAGGATAAAAGAAATTACATACACAGTTTAAGTTTAAGATTAAGTTGCTGGAATTTGATAAAAGTTGAATTTGATAAAAGATTAAGTTGCTGGAAAGTACGTAAGGTACTTTCCAGCAAGTTAATCTTTTATCAAATTCAATTCAGTTCTTTATTGTATGAATCTTAGTTAGTTATAAGGGATATTACATAAAAACTGAAGTTAGTACAATTTAGCAAATTAATATAATAGCTTAGTACTAAACAATAATACACAATAATTATTTTTATACATATGTAAGTCTGAAATTAGTAAAATTTTAAATTAATTAAATTGCTTAGTACAGTATAACACAAAATAAAATACACAAAAATAATCATTTTTTGAAAAACGGGATAAATTAATTATATCTTTCCAGGATTTAAATCTTGTCAAATACTTTTTCCTATTTGTTTCAAATGTGATACTGTGAAAGAACACATGTTTCCAAGTTTTATATACATGCATACTACAATTACTACCAGTTCTCTCAGGGTTTATTATTAGTTTACTGTAATATGTCAAAATATAATTTTGACCACATCTCAGCTGTAGAATTAAATGTTTTATGGTAATTTATATCCATAAACAAATAATCGTCACACATATAAGTTATTTTAAAAATGGGATATAATTGAAAATGCTTGTTCTTTTCCAGCAAAGACCAGTTATCTTGTATTCTCTGTTTGCAACACACTCCTATAATTAATTTTTGATAACTTTCAATCAAATGAGGATCTTGAGACAACCATAGAAATGAGAAACTGTATCGATCGAATAGCTTTTTCAATGCCAACATTCATTTATATATATGATTATCCATCATTGAACATAATTAATATAGTTTGTTATTTGGTGCTTTAACATAACTGTTATGTAGTTTCAACATTCTAATTCAAAAAGAAGCTATTGCTTTTATTATTAATACTGATATTCTAGAAACACCAAATTCCAATTGCAATATATAAGCTGGAATTTTATGGTATGACATGAAAATTCTTCAAAGATAGAAAGCAAGAACAATCTCCATTTTATCATGATAAGTAATTGCCCATACAGGAACAGCATAAAGTAGTACTGATGAAATCATTGGGTGAAATAATTTTAAATAAATATGAGCAGAATTAATTGTAGCTATTGAAAGAATAGGCCACATAGATCAAAGTGCCATTTTAGCCTTATGAATACTATAAATTGTCATTTTAACATAGCCTTTTTCTCTATCAGTTTCAAGGACAGATAGTTTAGATTCAACATATACCATTGCTGTATCTATATTCTCAATCCATTCTTGCATTCTGTCTAAGTAGTTCAAAAGTGTTTCTAATTTACTATTTGAAGAAGCTTGCAGTTTCAACAAAAGTCTAATTCCTTCTTGAATGTTAATCTTCTCTTCAGCACTTATATAAGACAAAATCAACTATTCCATTGACTCACCTGAGACATTTTCTTACATTTCATGGTGATCTGTCTTGAGACAATGGTGAAAAAGTTTTTATTTTTTGAGATGGAAACACTGATGTTTTTCCAGAAGAAAGCAAAAGTAAATCAAATCAAAGAAAAAAACTTCCCACCAACAGTCAGACAGCATCCCCTTTAATCAAATTAACATTTTTGGCTTTAATAATCCTTTCAAATTTTTTTAAACAGAGATCAGTTTAGAACAATATTTAAAGTTACATTATTTTAGAAAAATTTTACATTACATTTTTAAAAAAAATATTAATGGGATTANTGTTTACTTTTTTTAACACACTAAATTTTTAATGCTTTTATTCTCTAATATGGAATTTCTAATTTTTTATTTTACAAATGGAAGGTATATAAAACTGAAATTCCTTGCTTTCTGTGCTCAGTTTTCATTATTAAGTAGCTTTGACTTAATTTCTATAATTTAGCATAAAAGATAGCTTGACATACAAATGTTTTTTTTTTTAATGAAAGCTGCAGAGCTTAAAGGAAAATTAATTTTATCCTGTGTGTAAATTTTTCAAACTCTTAGAATTAGTTGAATCTTCAAGCAATTAGCCTTCACTATACTAGAAATTTCATGTAATAGTCTTGATTATCTAAAATAATGTATACTGTGATGCCCTGGATAATACAATATTTGGTAAATTATTTAATAAAGTGGATTTGAATGCATTAACATGTATGATCTACTATATTTTTCAATAAGTAGGTTAGACCTACTTATTGAAAAATACAGTTAATTTTTATTTATTTACTTAATTATTATTTATTAATTTATTTACAACTCCAATTCAATAAGTAGGTTAGACCTACTTATTGAATTTGAGTTGTAAATAAAATTTTAAAAAGTTTTTATCACACAGTTTAAATCTACATTTATTAAAGAAATTGTATAACCACAATTAAAATTTCTTCAATTTTTTTTAAATTTGTGTTTTGTGAGAAGTTATCAGACTAAAATCTTTCAAAAATTTCTGAAGCTTTATTTTGAGTAGTATGAATAGCTTGACCAAGATTTTTTCCTGAAATGAAGTGTACTGTCCTATCAATACATTCTTTTGTCTTTATTGAAAAAGTAATCTTTTCAGAATTTATCTTGGATATTGCAGAACCTTGGTTAAATGGACTTTGATTAATTAGTACTCTACTTTATAATTAAGTTAAATTTTTCAACATTTCTAAAATGTGTATAAATTTTATTTAGTTTTTATTTTATTTTGAATTTTATTTATTTATTTTTTCTTTTTTAATTTTGCTTTTTCTTTCAGCAATTGGAAATGCATTTGCAGTTTTAAGTGATCCAGAGAAAAGGAAGCAGTATGATATGTATGGCAGTGAAGAAGTACAGAGACGTCAAAGTTATGCTAATCGTGCTGATGGCTATTATGATTATTCCAGAGGATTTGAGGGTAATTTTTACTGTTTTGACACTTTAATTCTAAAATATAAATATTTTTTAAAAAATGGCACTTGGGAAAATAGTTATAATTTAAATACATGATTTCATATTAGTGTCATTTTTTATTTATAATTATAATAAGTGTAGAATTATGACATAAATAACTAAGCATTCATTAATCTTTTGTAACTTTTAATTTTTTAATAAAAAATATTAACTTAATGTTTTTAATTAATTAATTAAAAATATATTCTCAATCCTTCATTATCGTAGAATGGTTAAGGTGTTATCACACATTGAAACTTTCATAAAGCTAATTTATTAGATGAATACTCAATTTTATTGTGATCCACCTAAAATACAGTGATACTGTTAGGTCAGGGGTTGCCAAAGTGGTCGATATCAACCCCCAGGGGTCGATGCAACATCATTGGGGGGTCAATGCGGCCAAGGGGTCACAACCTTTTTTTTTTCTTTTGCTGCTCATACACATACACTTGTAATAAAACTTTATGGTGGGGGTCAATGTGAGGCTTTGGAAAATGGTTGGGGGTCGACGGTTAAAAAAGTTTGGCGACCCCTGTGTTAGGTACATGTTATAAAACTCTTTCAATGATACAATTTACTCCATATCTAAAATTATGTATACTATGACATTAAAACACCATAAATAAATGGCTAACTTCTATAAAAACCATAAAACTGTAAGAAATAAAAATTATCAACAGCTGCACGTATAACTAATGACATAACTATATTTTACATTTACAATCACAATTTCATGGCAATAAAAATATTTTATGAAATTTTATGAACTCTTATTGTTAATTACTTATTTTTTTAAAACTAATTTAAAATTTACTTTATCAAAATTTAATAAATGAATTGTTATGAAAATATTGCTATTTAAAAATTGTAAACTATTATGTGGTTATAAATTATTGTAATTATAAAATTAATAAACTTCAAATATAATATTTTTTTAAAATAAAAGGAATTAGTCTATTTTGGGAACTTGATTATTTTAATGAATTATTTAAAATTGTAATTTCAATTTGTTATAAACATTCATTTAGGATATTGATGCCAAAATGTTAAATAATTTTTAGATGTTTGTTGTAATTAATTAATTAATCATTTCTAAGGTGTTGCTTATTTTCTGATGTTCTCTCTAGTTTCTGTACTTAGTTACATTGCAACACCTGAAAAGTAGATGCAATAATTATAATAAAGATTGACAATATGAAGTTAAATGTGACTATAATTAGCACAGATTAAATTAAAATATTTCAAGAATAAACTCTGATATAAACTCGTAAAACCAAAACAGCGATTTATTCAGATGTTGAAATTTATATCTTAAAATGAAAATTTGTAGTTGTTAGTTTTATTAATCTTTGATTGTTTTCTCTACAAAATTAATTTCACGTTTTTATTATAATATAATTAGTCACTTTTATTTTTACATTAGTTATGAATAATTAATAAAGTTCTTTAAAAGTTTATAATAATCTCTAGAACAGTAGTTCCCAACTAGTGGGCTGTGAGAGGAATAAAAAATATTAAAAGTGACAAATTTCAGAAGTTTGTTTCAGTAAACTTTACAGAAAAGTATTAGAGAGAGAGCTCCATGGTTGATCTGTTCATAGGTTTAGTAATATTTAATAAGTGTGCTGCAGTCTTTCTATAATAAACTATTATAGAAAGACTGCATGTGCCATAAGACCAAAAAGGTTGTGAATTGCTGCTCTAAAATGTGTCTAGAATTTTTATTCTCTATAAATCTTCTTTTAATAACTGGCAATCCACTTCTTACTCATACTTCTAAATTATTATGTTGATGATTATTTTCAACTTTTAAATTAATAAAATATTTGTAATAGTTAAATTATTGTTTATTGTTTATATAGGAAATCAGTTTTATTTAACATTAAATCTTAAATATACATACTTACCTTTGTTATTTAATATATATATATATATATATAAAATAATAAAAATCTAAATAAAAATAAATTTTTACGATAAATAGATAAGCTATTCTAATTTACTGTTATATGTATAAATATATTGATAAATCAGTTAAAACTTTATCAGATTGTATTTATAAACCAGTTAAAGATTAATTATGAAATAAAAGTTTATTTTATTTTGCAGGTGATATATCTGCTGAAGAATTATTTAACATGTTCTTTGGAGGTGGTTTCCCATCAGGTAATTTAAAATGATCTCTAAAAGATCACATTGATGTGATTTGTTTAAAATGTATACTTACAGCCATTTTTAAAATCTATTAATGCAATTGTGTTATTTTATATATGGATTTGAAATTGTGTGTGTGTGTATATGTATGTATATAAAGAAAAAAAATCAGAGCATTGATAGTTGAAAAAGTTTCTTTCTCTCTTTTTGATAGATGGATGCAAAATTTACCAGAATTGATGAACCACAATCTGAAACCCAAATTCAATTTCGTGTTCATATATCACCTTTTCATGCTTGTGGATAAATGATCATTGTGTCGATTTAGTTATCAACAAAGCTATAGCGATTTTGAAGCAGATATTTCAAGAAAATATTTCTGTAACTCGAATATTTTATATATATATTTTTTAATGTAAAATAATAAATAAAAAAATAAGTTTTAATTTTTGACTAGAAGTATTTAATAATATTTTTAAATTAATCGCTAGAAAAATATTTTTAAACATAAAAAATTACTTCTTTTTTTTTAAATTTTTTAATATGTTAGCTATAAATATTAACTTTATAAATGTATATGTTACCGAGATTATTAAACATCAAATTAAAAAATAAATAAATAATTTAATAATCTAAAAAAATAAAATTAAATATAACGAGTAACGTTCTTGCAAATTTGTTTTGCATGAAGTATGCTTATTATTTTCTATTAATTAAATTTTCTAAAATGTTAAAGATGAGTTTTTCCTTAAGAATTAAATAAAAAATAAATAGGAAAAAAAAGAAGAAGAAACTCTGAAGCTGCGACGTATTAAAATGTCTTCTTGCTGTTCAAATATTAATCAGATTTTTCATTTTTTTTTTCTTTATAAGAAATAATCTTTTTAAAAAAATCAGTAGTAATAGTAATTTCTTTTTATTTTCGCCTTATACATAGGCTGTTCTAAGGTATAATATAATCTTTTCGTTAGAGAGTTAAGTGATTATTTGAAGAGCATACAATGTAGCAATGTATAGATAGTTCCAGCTTGCTTGAAGAGTTACAATTTTTTTTTCCTTTCAATCATGTATAGAAGTAGTAAGGGACTAGCTTTATTTTCTCATTTCTGATACAGTGTGATAAGCTAGATGGTGCAGACACAGAAGTGCCGATGTCGAAAACAGATAAATGTAGGAAAGATTGTCCTGCTGAAAATCTCACCTGTTGTTGAGTGGCAGAAAAATCAGAAATACACCATGAGGTCCCATCAGTCGTTATCGATCTTCACTATCCTTTTTAGCAGTAACCCATCTTCCCTGCTGAGACGTAATGCACGGAAATCACTATAAGTCTTGTGGTTTTTTGATGTCTACTTTTAGGGAGATATCTTTTATTCTTCGTCTGTTTAACTTTCGATTTATAAGCAATTATATATACATTAATAAAATTTTCACTTTTATTTAATGTTTTTTTTCTAAAGAAATTGATTAAAATTACGTATCTTTATTACATTATGCTATTATTACACAGTGAATTAATACTTTCTTAGTCAATTAGTTAATTAAAAATAAAGTATGTATACAGTGTTAGATGAATTTAAATCATTTTTATCTAGTAAATTGTTATTTTAAAATATATAAACTATAAAAAATAGGAATATATTTTTACCTTCAAATTTTATGGAGAAGATAGTCAATATCAATAATAATTTAAAATTTTTATATACATCCTGCAAGTTTCAGATAACATTATAGAAGCCATTTCAACAAGTTATAGAAGTTTAAATTAAAGTAGTTTCGAATTCAACTGCTTTAGTTCCCATACAAATAGGAGATAAAAGTGTGATGAAGTAAATTGAGTTTGCAAGCATACAAATGCAACATTATGTTCTTCAACCGGATACAATTATGTAAACATTGGAAATAATGTATTACCATTGTATAATTGGTTTACTTTTTCTCTTTTCTAATTCGCTTACACAATAACTAGATAACTTTATCCGTTTAATTTTATAACAAACTTATCTATAAAATTTGTCCTGATCAATTTATTTGACAAGTAAACTGTGAGTCTTTCACATAATAAAATCCTACGTTATTTTCGAACGTAAATTAATTTAAATTGTTNTCATAATATACTAAAAAAATGTACAATTAAGAATAAAAGTAAATAAAACTAAATTATTTGAATTTGCTATTATGATGTCATGTTTTGCACTGTGTTACAATTTTTGCTGCTCCTCCTTTCTAAAGGAGTTGTCAAATAGTGATCTCCATGCTTAGGATAGTGGCTCAGAGGCTCTGCTGTTAAAGTAGTTACTAATACCAGGTTATACCAGTATTTATATACAAGAAATTTATTAATGATATAAAATCACTTGCATTTTGAAGTGAAAGTTTTTAAAAACACAATTTATCTATTAGTATTTATATGGAACCAAATTTCACATTTTCAGAATGTAAGTTATATTAAATTAGAATAAAAATTAATCTGTAATAAAACATAATTAAAAAATATCACAAGGAAACAACTAAAATAATGATATAGTAGTAGTACTGATTAGTTGAAATCCTGCCTCTCTGTTATTTCTGCTTGAAGCTGTTATTTTCTGGTAAAAGAAGTCTAATTTTTGTGTATTGTTTCTTTAGTCAAAATTTATTTGATAAAATCCACTACTATGACACAGCATTCCAGTAGACAATCAGGCACATCTTTTTTGTTTAATTCTTTTTTGCATGTTATCTAATATTTTATTCTCTTCCAAAGAAAACTGCTTTTGTTTTTTCTTGTAAACTTAAAAAAAGAAAAACTGCAGAGTAATAACATCAAAACAAAACCAAAAAGTAAGGATTAAAATTAGTGTTGCCAGGCTATTTGACATAATATTCATCATTTACTAATAATGGATGATTTGTGCATTTATAGATTTCATTATAATGAAACTATTATTTTATAAGGGACAGAATTTTTATTATATTAAACTGAAACATTTTTGCATTGAGCTGAATAGGAAATTGGCTGGGCATTCAAGATATATTTATTATATCAAATTTTGTTAAATTGGCATTTGTTATACTGACATTTTACTATAAAGTAATGAAATAATAATAGTAATTTTTGCATGTAATAGTTGCATTGTCTATAAATTAATTTTGGAAATATATTCAAATATTTAGGTAATGTTTATGTACGTAGAGGAAATCAGTGGCATCAACATAGGCAACAAACTGAAGCAAGGCAAGAAGTAAGACTTTTTCATTTAAAATAATTATAAATATGCTAATTTTAGTTTGAATATACAGTACAATAAGTTCAGACTTACATATATTCATAGATATGATATTTTGATTTGCAACTAACAATGCCATTTATTAAGCACTATTTTGAAATATTAGTTTTATAAAATATTTTTATTTGTAACTTAATCAATAATCCCATTAATATTTTTTTTAAAAATGTAATGTAAAATTTCTCTAAATAATAATAGCCATATCTACTATTTCACCTGTGTATTTTTTCTGCAGTTACTATTTGAGGATTATTATCCTTTGCACATACCTGTTTGTATTCATTATTAATAAAGTATTTAATTATTTACTTTAAGAAAATTTTGATTTTTAAAAACAAACTACATTTGAAATGATAGCTAGTATCTTTCTTTATAATGACTATTAATTTCTATATACTAGTAATAAGAAAATAATTAAAAAGTATTCTTACTGTATATTGTATATTATACATATTTTATTTTCTATCAAAGTTTGTTTGTCAAATAAATAAATGCAATGCCTGCCTACCTATTATAGTTTGATATTTATTAATTTTATTCTGTTTCCCTAAGTTTTCAAAAATCCTCATATAAATGTGGCTGTTATTCAAGGGCTATCTTAAGCTTTAAGGGCAGAACATAATGCAGTTGCTATTCAAGAATGATTATTTGAATAAAATCAATAAATAAAGATAACAAAAATTTTTATTTTATTAAGATTTCTTTTTATAAGCATTTATTTATCTTTATCCTTTGAAATGAATATATATTATATGCTAAAAATGCAACATATTTAAGTACTATTTGATTTACATTATTTTTCAACTTGTACAGAAACCTTAAAAATGAATTAGCTGTGTAAGTTGAGAAAATTATTTTGATTTTAGTGTATATTACTAACTAAATTAGATTAAATTGAAAGATATACAGTAATACCTCGAATTACGCGAACCCGGAGTTACACAATTTTCAAATCTCGTCGATTCATCTTTTGTTTGAGTGCCACGCAACCCTTGATTACTCACTCCTTCCACACTATTGTTCAGCTTATATTTTTGGACGTGTCGCGCGGAATCGACACATAGCTACAATTTATTTTGTGTTATTTATTTCTGTATTTGTTATATCTACGGAGACTTGAGAGACTCTATGTGGTGATTTCTTGTAACCGTGAACGAATCAAAAGATGACATAAGATTAACGAGAACTTTTATTAGCTTACATACATCTGATTTGGATTTTACATAAATTGTGAGATTATACCTTGACTTACGCGAATTCGACTTACACAGTTATCGCTCGGTTCCACCTATCGCGTAAGTTTGGGGTATTACTGTAATTCAAATAAAGATACTTACTTAAATTTATGTTGTTTATTGTTTACTTATTTTCTGTTTTCTTTATCTTCAGTAATTAAATGAAAAAAGTTTTGTTTTAATAATTGTATAGTGGGACATTTTCAGAATAATCAGATCAAGGATGAAAATGTTTTTATACATATTATGTAAAGGTCTGAGAGGAAAATGACAGATATAGATATAGATATAGATAGATATAGATGGTTATTAACTTTAGAATATTTTGTTGTTTCTTTGCAGACACACTAAGGTGACATATATCAACACTTGGCAACTTATTGACTATTTATTCAGTTGGGACGCCTTTTACATTACGCTTTTCGGGCATTGGCCCCTCTTCAGCCAACTAGACATAAAAAATAAAACATAAGAAAATTTGTACAAAAATACGCGAGTAGATAAACTGTTTTTTTAAAAAAATTTTTTAAAAACATACCATAAAACACAAACCACTATTGTACAGATGTCGAACAGGATGGACAATTTCATATTTCATATACAACTTGGATAACAAACAAGGTCGACGATAATCATTGGAGAACAAACAGGGTCGTAGATAGCAGCTTGACTACTGGGCTTTTAAATATGGCTTTCTTATAATTTACACAAAATTCAAATAAATAGATTGACAATTACAACATATCTTAACAATATTTGTTTTTACCTGTGGTTGATATTCGCATATTACACCGAAATTCATTCGATATTAGTTGTCGCCCTTTCTTTCCGAACAAAATTTCACAAAGTCATCTTAGCAATATTATCCAAA